TATAGCAAAGGGAATTCGTGGTCAAACTCGGCCAAAGATAGAGACTTGGGGGGTTGTTCGTCGATGGTGCCTCCAACAAGTCAGGGGCAGGCGCCGGGGTTCTCCTAATAAGCCCCCTCGGTTTCGCTCATGAGTTGGCTGTGAGATTCACATCAACAAAAACCAATAATGCTGCAGAATATGAAGCTTTACTAGTGGTACTCTCCATGGCACAAGAACTGGGGGCACAACGTCTCATCGTTCACTCAGGCCGTAATTGTGGTCAGTAAGGTGGCTGAGACTTTTGAAACACGGGAGCCGACACTCTTGGCTTATGCTAATGTAGTGCAGGCGGCTTTGGCCAACTTTATCGATGCTTGCGTCATCCACATCCCACGAGAAGAAAACCTTCATGCGGATGCTCTCTCCAAACTGGAAACTGGTCGGGATTTTTTGGACGAGAGACGTTTTATTGTTGAACGACGACCCGCCTTGCTATGCTCTCAGAAAACCACTTTGCCACTCCTCCGAGACTGGCGCACGCCAATGATTGAATACCCCCAACATGGCATCCTTCCGGCCGACCATAAAAAGGCAGTTCCCTTGAAGCATCGGGCACCTTTATACATCATGATCGACGGCTCTCTGTATCGGAAGAGTTTCGCAGGCCCGTATCTCCGGTGTCTTAGTGCGCGAGAGGCCCACTTTGCTCTCCGGGAAGTTCACCAGGGGACATGCTCCATGTATGCAGGCCCGCGTAGTCTAGAAAAGACTCTGCTCCGTCAAGGGTATTACTGGCCAACAATTCGGCGGGATGCCCGAGAGTATGTTAAGGTATGCACCAAGTGCCAAGTAGCCGCCCGAGTACCTCGTGCGCCCATGACACCAATGCAAGGGAACCTCAGTCCTTGGCCTTTCGCTCAGTGGGGAATGGATTTCCTCGGTTCTTTTCCCGAGGAACCTGGGAGGAAAAAGTATTTGATAGTCGCTATTGACTATTTCACCAAATGGATAGAAGCCGATGCTCTAACTAGCTAGCATGACCACCCAACAAGTTGTGAAGTTCCTATGGAACCATCATCAATTGGTTCGGCCTCCCTCACACCATTGTGATGGATCAAGGAACACAATTCAAGAGTCAGGACCTCCAGAAGTACTGTGCCCAGTATGGCATTCTCCTTCGATAGACATCTGTCTCGTACCCTCAGGCCAACAGTCAGGCGGAGCCCGTCAACAAAAATATCATGTGGGGACGAAAAACCTGTCTAGACAACGCCGAAGAGAAATGGGTGGAAGAACTTCCTCATGTCTTGTGGGCTCACTAAACCACCTACAGTACTGCCACGGGGGATACACTGTACGTGCTCAACCACAACCTCGACCTTGCTGAAGAACGTCGAGAAGATGCTCGGCTATGCCTGGTTGTCAGCCAAGAAAGGGTTGCTCGATACTACAACTCTAAGGTTAGAGAGCGGCCTCTCCAGGTTGGGGAATGGGTGCTTTGATGAAATTTCCGCCCCGGGGAAGGTCTGGGAAAGTTCACGCCCAAGTGGGAAGGCCCATATAGGGTAAGAGAAGTTATCGGTCCCAATACGGTGAAGCTAGAAGATGTCGACGGTGAAGACATGTCAAAACCTGAAACGCCATGCACCTACGTAGATATTTCACACCCATATAATAAAAGCGCTCGCGGTTAGCAAAGTTTATAATAATAAAAGAGCATGGTTCGTGGATTACATAAAAAATTTCAAATTGATACGAAAAGAAACAAAGAATGCATAAAACAACAACTAAAGCAAACAAAGGAAGCCGTCTACCACGACTCAAGCACCCGTCGGAGGATCGGGGCCCAAGGCGGAGCTCGGGTTGGCAATTGCCCCGGCTCCCGGCGGCTGGCCATTATCTCTCGTCCGGTTCCGACACCTTGGCCCATTATTGTTCCTGGACCCTGGCTCCCGGGCTTCGCCCTCCTCCCGGCACCTAGGACCGCAATTGCCACTGCTCTCAGAAGTGGGCCTTCACCTCTCGTCCGGTTCCCGACGTCCAAGTCCTTTATCGTTCCCGGACCCCGGCTCCTAGGCTTCGCCCTCCTCCCGGCACCCGGGCCCACCATTGCCCCGGCTCCGGCGACGGACCTTCACCTCTCGTCCGGTTCCCGGTTCGCGTTACCGTTCCCGGACCCCGGCTCTCGGATTCCGCCCTCCTCCCGGCACCCACGCCCACCATTGCCGCAGCTCTTGACGGTGGGCCTTCACCTCTCGTTCAGTTCCCGACGCTTGGGTCTGTTATCGTTCACGGACTCCGGCTTCGGGGCTCTGCCCTCCACCCTCCACTCGGGCCCACCATTACCCCAGCTCCTGGCAGCAGGCATTCATCTCTCGTTCGCTTCCCGACGCCTTGCCCGTTATCGTTCCCGGACCTGGGCTCCGCCCTCCTCTCGGCACCCGAGCCACCATTGCCCCGGCTCCCGGCGTTCACCTCTCGTCTGGTTCCTGGCGCCGACATCCATTATCGTTCTCGGACCTCGGCTCCCGGGCTCCGCCCTCATCCCGACACCCGGGCCCATCATTGCCTCGGCTCCCGGCGGCGAGCCTTCACCTCTAGTGTGGTTACCGGCGCCAGGGCCCGTTATCAATTTCGGACCCCGGCTCTCGAGCTCCGCCCTCCTCTCGGCATCGGGACCACTATTGCCCCGGCTCCCGGCGGCAGGCCTTCACCTCTCGTCCGGTTCTTGGCCCCAATGCCCGTTATCGATCCCTAACCCCAGTTCCCGACGATGGGCCTTCACTTATCTCGTTCGGATCCCAGCCCCCGGACCCATTATCGGTCCCGCACCCGTTATTACCCTAGCTGGCGGGGCAGGTCCTTCGCCTCTCGTGCGGTTCCAAGGGCCCTGGGCCCAATATTACTCCCGGTCCCTGGCTCCCGAACTCCGCCCTCCTCTTAGCGCCCGAGCCCGCTATTGTTCCTGCGCCGGGTCTTCTCCTCTGGGCTGGTTCCCGGCTCTCAGGCTTCGTCCTCCTCCCGGTGTCCAGGCCCGCTGTCGTCCCCTAATCCCAGTGACCCGATCCACATCTATTGACCCCACTTGGATCCATTGGTTGCACTCCTACATGCACAGATGTCATGCCCTTTGCTCAATTTGTCTGCATGTGGCAAGGGTGATCACCTTAGGCAAAAACATGATTGACATGTGTACAACCACGTGGCGGGCGCAGATGGGGCTAGACGACACATGTCCAGTGACGTGTCCTTCTTTCATCTTCGGCGCCGACACTTGTCCTCCCCCCCCCCCCAGTTAGATACTATATAACTAGCTCATTCTCTCTAATGAAAAGAAAGGCAAGAGATCGGGGTAAGTATCCTGAGAGCTCCAGCTGCAATCAGTGACTCTCACCTTCCGGGCTCTCAACTCATGCAAACACCTTGTAAACTACTCAATCCCCCCAGCACTAGGGACTAACTTGAGCGTCAGAGGGTGCCCCAGCCGAGATCGGCCGGCAGACCCTTTTTTGCAGGAAGCAATCGGAGGCAACGTCACGAAGGAAGGTTACTATAAAGGGGCACTTCAAATCTCTTCGGGGCCCAAGATCGAAGAAGTCTACGTCGGCTACAATCCCGACATTCACAGTATGAAAAGCGTATCATGGTGGTATGAACTAGTGTTGTCATAACCGGATCGGACAACGATCCGAATTAGTGAAAGGTTTAAGATTTATCGGATAACCGGCGATTAACCGGTATAAAATTGGTCATAAAACCGGTAACGTACAAATATTTTGAATAAAATAATATACCTTAGCAGTACATTTTAAAATTTGGCGGACAATTCTTAATGGAGTTGAATGGGGTTCTTCGCTATTTAAAAGCATATGCATAGCTAATTGCCTAATTATTAGAAAAGAATGTGATTTATGGAAGGAACAAGATCTAAAGAAGGAAGGGAGCAAACAATTCAGAGCTAGATAATGTTCCGTTTTCCTTTTCTTTGTTTCTTTTTATTCTCCTTAGTTTCATAAGTTAGATAATTTTAGATTTTATTGGTTTTACGAATTAAAAGCCACCAAAAATGTCCGCCGAGAATACGGAACAGACGTAGATGTTTCCATTTTCTTTTTTTCTCTTTCCTATTTTGTTTCATACGTAACTTAAGGTAAGGTTTCAAGAATTAAAAGCCACAAAACTGTCGGTTCGGGTTGATCGGTTCTGCCGATTAACTGGATAAACCAGTTAACACCCGACCGACCAGATCTAGCATCAGATTTGTGTTGCTGGGATCAGAAGCATGGCGGGGTCCAGGTTTTTTCCAGTCAGACTAGCCGGTCCGGGTCTGTTTTTACAACAATGGTATGAACATACCAAGACTGTAGGATTGTTGAATACATGATAAAAGGAGTATACTAACTGTCATTTATGACTTTCAACATTGTGTACGACAAGATACCACCCCGTACCTAGGTGGTATTTTTCGGTATTTTTTGGTATTTTATTTTGTTCACACAGAAATTTGTAGATCAAATAGATCATGATGAACTCGTTCCTTCTGTGCAAATTTTTTTCAAAAACGACTTAAAAACGAAGAAGATAACATATGGTATGCAGTTGGTAACGAGAGGCAGAAATTTTTTTTGTAAAAAAATATTAAAAATGAATTTTGTAGAGCACAACGAACTTGTTCTATCTGTGCAAAAGAAAATTGAAATTCAAGTTGAAACGAAGAAAATATTAATCGATTAAGAGAACAAGAGAAAATAAAAATGTTTTTAATTCTCCACCATTAAATCTAAATTTTGTGGATCTATCTAGTTAAAAGGGAGTTGAGATTTAGTTACTATGCACCGTGTTTGGAGCCCTTTCCGTGTCCGTGTTGGTTTGGAAATTGATGGTACAAATAAAATTTACCACTTCCCCTATAAATATCGTGAGAGAAGAGAGCTGTTAGCGTACTTTTTACTTTTTAGTAGTTTCGTTCTCCTCCGTCCTCTAACCACACAACACATCGTCAAAGAGAATATATATCGATGGCGCAGCAGCCGGAGGAGATAGGTATCGATGCAGAGTCACAGGCGCCGCCGCCGCCGCAGCCGCAGGTCTTCTCGTCCGTTTTCATGGACGCCAATCGCAACGTCACCCTCAAGGTACGTACGTAACTCAGCTCATGGCTCAGTCAGGTAGTGAAGAAGCAAAAAAAGAAAACCCCTAATTATATTTTTTCCCCTTTCTTTGTGGCTTTTTTAAATTAGTTCGAGGATGTGGTTTACAAGGTGAAGCTACCAAAACCCAAATCGTCATCATCACCGTCCGAGAAGGTGATCCTAAAGGGTGTGACCGGAATAGTCCGTCCCGGCGAGATGCTAGCAATGCTGGGCCCCTCCGGGAGCGGCAAGACGACACTCCTCTCGGCGCTGGGAGGTAAACTGAGATCCGGCGAGGGGAAACTCGATGGAGCCATAACCTACAACGGGAAGCCCTTGTCGAGCAGCATGAGGCGGACAACAGGGTTCGTGACCCAGGACGACGTCCTCTACCCTCACCTAACGGTGACGGAGACGCTCGTCTACACGGCGCTCCTCCGCCTGCCCAAGTCGCTGACGAGGGCCGAGAAGGTCGGGCAGGCAGAGGCCGTGATCGGGCAGCTCGGGCTGGACAAGTGCAAGGACGGGATCATCGGCGGGGAGGAGCTGCGCGGCGTCTCCGGCGGGGAGAGGAAGAGGGTGAGCATAGGGCAGGAGATGCTGGTGAACCCGAGCTTGTTGTTCCTGGACGAGCCGACGTCCGGGTTGGACTCGACGACGGCACACAGGATCGTGTCGACGGTGTGGGAGATGGCCGGGAAGGGGGGCAGGACGGTGGTTATGACGATACACCAGCCGTCGAGCAAGCTGTTCTACATGTTCGACAAGGTGCTCTTGCTGTCGGAAGGAAACCCTTTGTACTTCGGGAGAGGTGGGGATGTGATGGAGTATTTTCACAAGCTTGGGTTCGTGCCCCGTGTCCCCATGAATCCCTCCGATTTCCTGCTCGACCTCGCCAACGGTATGTTACGTTTTTGCTCTATGTTACGTTGTTAGCTAGCTACGTGTTGTACGTGTTTTTATTTATTTATTTATTTATTTTATACGGCAAACCTAGTTTGTCTTGGGAGAGAATTAGGGTTTTAGACTCATCTTCTAATTGAATTGCCATGCCCAAAACATGAGGCATTAGAATTCTAATTGAATTGACTCACATGACATCAGTCAGAGAGACTAAATAAAATTGACTGATGAGTAAGTGTAACGAGAGTTGTGCTTATTATTGAATGCGCACGCTTATTAACGTACATGAAGTAACTCGATCAATAGCTCTCTGGTTTAGCAGTTTCTTATTGATATTGATCTGCTTTTGAAGGAGTGTCGCCGGAGAGCAAAGACGACCCAGTCAAAGTCAAGGAGGAATTAGTTTCGGCCTACGTAGCTACTCTGGCCGAGAAGTTGCAAGCGGAGCTGCAGGTTCAGGAAACAACACGCGCCGGAGGCGACTATCGCACACAGCAGCATTCGTCAGCTGGGTGGCCCACCACATGGTGGCAGCAGTTCGCAATTCTAATCTCCAGGGGACTCAGAGAGCGCAAATACGAATCCTTCTCTGCTCACAAAATTCTTCAAATTCTCGCACTAGCCATCCTCTCCGGCCTCTTCTGGTGGCAGTCTGATGTATCCCATCTCCAGGATCAGGTAATTAAACCTGCTATATATCATGCTTCCCTTGCCAACAAAATATATATAGTTACCGCGCGTCTAAATCTAAATCCCCTTAAATTTGTGATGGAAGTGCAGGTTGGGTTCCTCTTCTTCTTCTCAGCCTTCTGGATTGCGTACCCACTATCCGATGCCATCTTCACGTGCCCACAGGAGAGGCGGATGCTTATGAAAGAGCGATCGTGTGGGATGTACAAGTTGTCTTCCTACTTCATGGCAAGGATGGTCGGCGACCTCGCCATGACGTTAGTCCTACCCATGGCCTTCGTCATCATTACGTACTGGATGGTGGGGTTGAAGCACACCCCGGGTCGCTTCTTCCACACGCTAGCCGTGCTCCTCTACAGCGTCCTGGCAGCCTCGGGGATGGGGCTTGCGATCGGGGCTCTTGTCAAGGACACCAAGAACGCCGTCCTCTTGGGCTCCGTCATTGCCATCGCCTCCCAGCTCGCCAGCGGCTTCTACGTCCAGCAGTTGCCGCCGTTTATCGGGTGGACCAAGTACATCACCATCGGCCAACACTCGTTCAAGCTCCTCCTTGCCTCTCAATTCACCGACCATGACATGTACCCTTGCGGCAACGGGAACACGTGTCGGGTTGGGGATTATCCGGCAATCAGTAGCGTTGGCCTTGATGGGCAGCCGCTTTCGATGGTGGCGTTGTTCATTATGATTGTTGGCTACCGGGTAATTGCTTATCTTTCGATCATGAAGATTGGAGAGGTCAACAAGTAGTAGCATCGCCCTCACTGAATTGGTGAATGGTACGTGATCTAGTTTCTATTGTCGCTAGCTAGTAGTATGTATTTAGAAGTACTGTTTTGTATGGCTAAAAACTAATATGGATTCGTAAGTGGTATGAATTATTTAGTTTGTAATATTGATTTGTGTATTAATGATATGCATTCGCTAGTTACTGAATGAACTATGCTTGCTTTCGACACTACTGACTCTCGAGTCAACAAACAATCCAACACATGCTTCGACAAACTATAGTAGCACCAAGTTACTATAGGTAGGGGTGTTCAAATGGTTACCATGATTATAACCAAACCATATAAGGCTAAATTTCATTAACCATGGAATACAATATCATAACCAAACCGTACAAACTAATACAACAACCAAATTAACCAAACTAAAGTTTAATCGGTTTGGTTAATTGGTTAACCAGATTAACCAATATAAAATCACATTATCATTGACGATGAAAATTTTCCGGTTAATGCAACAATTCGTAATTTATATAATGAATAAAACATAACAACCAACACGTAGTTATAGTTGACCCTTAACAAAAATACATGCAATTAAGACAATTATCTTACGATTAGTATAGAAGTATTGACCTAACAAAAATTTATGACAATGGTATGGGGTTAATGAATTGTTGTGTTTGTGTAAATTGACTTAGTCTCTTAGCAATTATCATAGGCTGGAAATGACCTTCCTTTCAAGTTTTCATCCATCATAATGTATGAAATTTATCTAAATTAGGCGTCCATATGTTGTGGTCTACATTTTACATATACAAATATACACTATATGAGCAATATTGAGATTTATATTTTATGAGTCTAAAAGGCATGAACGTTAACTCTTGAGTGGTTATGCAAAGTATTAAGTATGTGTATATAATATATGTTAGATATATGACTAATTACTTAACTGGTTAATTTGGTTTGACTGGTTAGGAGTGTCTGAAACCAAACCAAACCACCTAAACCAAACAAGCTAAAAACTTTAACCAAACCAAACCAAATTATTCAAATAGTACCGGTTAAAACGGTTACCATGGTAACCAAACCGTTTGAACACCCCTGACTATAGGTTGTCCCTCGGAAAAGGAAGAGTTGCCCTGGTATAATGCCATTAATTCGGCCAATGAGATGCTTTGGGCATTGGCTTGTGGGCTCTGGCTCAAGCCATATGCCTGTGCTTAAGGCGGTCCAACTCGTAATCTCGAACGTTTTCGCATATTTTGATTTGCACCTTCAATGGAGTGAAAGTGAAACTAATCCAATGTAGTAGTAGTAGAAGGGTTTTAAGAAAAGATTACACAATTTAGATCAGTATCTTCGTTTGTGATCTTGAGTGCAGTAAGCCTCTTTCTTCATGCCCTATGTAATCCACAACTGCATTCTAGCTGTTAAAGTCACCATATATAGATAGACCCATATCGGCTAAAGCCTGCCATGGCCATGTAACGGCAGTTGGAAGCAAAATCTATGACCGCGGAGAACATCTTTTTATCTTCTGAAGTAGCAAAATCTCGACATGGAACTAGTTTCTAGATGTGTCAAACTGTCAATCCCTGCTATCATTTGGTTGGAACTGCTAGCTTCGACTGAGAAACGATGAAGACAGCTAAAATACCAGACTTATTCATGCTCTTCAAGGATATAGACAAAAGAAGATACAACAAACCAGAACATCCAGGGTCTAGACATCGTCCCCTTCACCTCTGTCAAATGGTAATTTGCAATTATCACAACAAAGTGAGCCCACTACAATAATCTCAAGAGACAAATCTATTACTTTATTGGTTGAAACTACCTATCACATTATACATCTAAAATTGACATGGAGCAGCAGCACATGGAGGAGCAACCATCAAATAATACACCAAAGGTGATGATAAAGCATGCCAACCGATTGAATAAACTTGTAGTCCCACATCCAGCAAATTAATAAGAAGCAAGTTGGCCAGTTCCATTATCAACATGTTCCCAACGTAAATGCATGGAAGAGAGACGAGGAAACTTGCATTATTAGTATATTAGCTTTCAATTATATAAATATATGTGTGATGTATGTATGGGAATGCATAGATAGTAGTGTCAGATAAATCAAAAAGAAAGAGTGGGCAAAGACAAAGCTTGTCATGTGTGTTTTTTCTAAGTGTGTCTTGAATGATTTAAAACATAAGCCAAAAGTTAAGGCTATGTTTGTTCGAGTGAATTATAAATTGAGTGATACACGACCCCCCATATGTCAACATGACCCCCATATGTCATGTTGCACGGCCAGATGAAGTTGCACGGCCCCCATATGTCAACATGACCCCCATAAGCCAACAAGAGACGGAGTGCTACACGACCCCCATATGTCAACATGAATGAGATCAAAACAACCTGTAATTTTATTGAGCTATGAGGAAACGGAGTGTGAGATTGTTTAGCATGCAAACAAGAGTCACAATGAGAAGTTGGCCGAGAACCAAAATCACAACCCACAAAATCCTTTAACCATGCTAATCGATCAAAAGAAGGATGGCCCATACGAGCATGCCGCAAGTCCACTGCATCACCGCGACCAACCACCTTGCACACCTGAGGGAGCGGCTGTTGGGGAACTCGCTGGAAGTAGTAAAGTCCATCCTACAGTCTACCAACGCCAATTAGCATCCTGGAAGGTAAGGCCTGAATCACGCAAAAATCATGCAATAATGTTACTGCCACGTTATGGTCCTTGGTTAAATGACTCACGGATAGCATGCTACACTTGAAATAAGGCCATGTAACATTCGACTAAGATTAAGTGAGGGTGAGTGGGTGACAACTGCACCGAACCAACCCCTCTAACCGGAATTCCTGTCCCATCCGGTATCTGAACTTTAGAGAAGGTAGTACTATCAATAGAGTGTAACAACCGAGCATCCTTAACAATATGCTTATTACAACCTGAATCATTTGGCCAGTCATAAAGATCAGAAGGATTACCCGCCATATGCGTCGTTGGCTAAGAAGCCGCATCAGGGGAAGAACTGGAGAGAAATTGCTTGAGTTGAGCGAGCTAGGCAATAGTCAAGAGGAAGACAAACCTACTTATACCCTATCACCAAATACACGGGTACAACCCTTAAAATAATTAAGTGCAAATAAGCAACTTAACAAATATGCATTGGACAAATAGGCCCAATAATGTTTCTTTTACTATGTAAATATTGATATATGGATAAACATTGTCATTACCACATTATATGCTTGTTTGGGAGTTACATGTAACCCCTATTCCTACAATTAAAATCTTCTTTATGTTTCATTCATATGCATTGATATAAGGATGTAGTGGTTACCAAGGTGTGCCTATAAATAGAGCATACTATCAAAAGTGAATAACGAATAAGAAGAACTATTCCTCTCTCTTCTCTTGTGTCTTTCCATTTCTAATCTTTCCTTGTAGTTGTTTATATTTCTCATTAGTTTCATAACACGTTATTTGCACGAAGCTCTGCTAGCATCATGGTTGGTCATTTTCTCTCTACACAATCTAGTATATTGGAGTCAGATCACAATATGATCAAGGTATGCAAATCTTCATCTTCTTTTTAATCTTAGTGTCTTATTTGTGTTGAGATTATCTCGTTCCAATATATCAAGATGGATGCTACTCTTCTCTCGTAGTAGACCATTTATTGATATTTTATCACGTACATCTATTTGTATTAAAAATTTGGGTTGTGTGATTTGATTTATATTATTATGTGTTTTATAATACATATATCGATTCCTTAAAAAATAAAATAAAATTTGTGTTTTGACATTATCGCAAAATAAAATTTGCTCATGTAGTAGCAATAACAAGGAAAGTAATATAAGTGGTGAGTTAATTTCTCAGTTCTCCGTGTTACCCAATTTTTATAAATCCTACATTGATATGTAGAAAATGCGAGTTCCAAGAGCCCATATATTACCCAGAAGTGGAAATTGAAGAATCCAAGGGCAACGAAAGAAGTGGATATGGTAACAAGAATATTGTTTATGTATGTTACCCAATATAGTCAAAAGCGAGTTTCTACGTAGACACGTTTTGGTGATCTAGAAGCGTAAAATCGTAAGTTTTTAAGTTTTAAAGCAGAGTTTTTAACTACATAAGTTATAAAAACTGAGACTTTGTATAGAAGCGTTTCAGTGACCTAGAAACCTAAAATCGTAAGTTTTTAAGTTTTAAAGCGCGCTTTTGACTACATTGATGTTACCATTGCAATAAAAAATGTGTTTGTCTCGTACCCGTTGTACGCAAAAGACCTTATTCTACAAAGAATCAAAGAGAAAAGCAAATTCATTTACGCTCTTGCAATATCAATATTATGGAAAATAGTTTTTTATTATAAGTTGGTATATTCTCCATTAAAGATAAAAATGGGCTAAATTGCAAGTTTGGTCACTTGAATTACTAGTAAAGTTCACGTTAGCTACTAGAATTACTTTATTCATTCTGTAGTCACTTAGATTAGGTTAACAGTTCAAGTTTGGTCACTGACCGTTAGTCTCCGTTAACTTTTGCAAATGTGGCGGTCAACTTATAGTTGACCGTTTCCCACCTCATTATTACAATAAATTAAAAAATAATTAAAACAAAAAAAGTCACAAACAACAATAATAATAATTTCCACCTCATTGTTTCTTCCTCCGTCTTCTTCAAAGCAGCCATCGCAATTTCGTAGAGAATCATCAGGTAATGAAGGCGTACCAGAGGCCCGAGGTGGAAGAAGAGGAGGAATATTGCCTAACTCCTAAGAGTAGCGAATTCTGAATTCCGGCGGTTCAACCGTGTCCTCCGCCGCCCAAGAAGAAGAGGTAGCAATATTAGAATACGGGTAGTATGAGTAGTATTATGTTATACTACGAGCAGTGTTATATAATTGAGAAAGTTATATTCCTTATCATAGTTGTGGAAGTTAGGTTATTTTTGTATTAGTGTTAGAGTTATTATAGAAGTCAGTCTCTGTA